AGGGAGAATATTCAGTCCAGACCTGAGAAGAAAACAAAACGCAGGGAAAAAGAGGATTTCCACCCTGCATTTGCAGATAATCTTTAAAATGAGTCAGGACAAAGAGAAACACTCGGTTAACAAATTGAAAGAGAGGGAGAAAAGAGCATCAGGACAACTTATCTCTGAAAGGCTCCTGCTCTCAACCAGGACAGATGAACAGAGAGGTTTTAACCTAATTTCTCACATTCAACGCCACTCCTAACCCTGCGTGATCACCGCTAAAAGAGGGACTGTGTGGTAAACGCAATAACCCAGTTCTCTGACTGGAAAATAAGACATCTGGAGCCACATGAAATATATATTTGGTTGGAGACTCACACTGAACAGATTAGGTGTCTCCAGTACTGAAGAGCATCACTCAGATTCACTGCCATGCTCCTCATTTCAAACCCAGACCAGTGAAGATGGTGTTCATGTGTTGTTGTCCATCCAGAGTCATGATTCATCCCAGAGCAAGGAGGCAGCAGGGCAGTGAAACACCAGGGCTGCAGGTTTATATCAAGTGTATACTGACCTCTACTGGTCAAAGACAGCCATTACATATATTATTAACTGGTTTAATAAAATAATAATAATAATAATAATAATGTCATCACAATGTCAGCACTGTATGTTTCCATACAATGGCGAAATTAGTCTCTGCATTTAACCCATCCACCACCAGGTGGTGCAGTGGGCAGCTATTGAAAGCGCCCGGGGGACATTTTGGGGATGAGACGTGCTGCCCAGAGACGCCACGTGATGTGCAGTGACTGGAGATCGAACCTGGGACTTTCGGGTCCCAAGCCGGCTGCCCTGCCTCTACACCATCTCGGCCCCCAAACCTACAGAAACAAAAGATTTGCATTGATTGTAATTAAAATATAATTTTGTAAATAAAGTGGGATTATTACCAATGAGGATTATGGGTACCACTTTACAATAAGGCTCCCCTTATAAATGGCTAATAAATAGTTTATAGATATATTAATTCCTCTATAAGTCAGTTCAGTTTATTTATATAGTGCCATGTTACAACAGAAGTCATCTCAGAGCACTGAACAGAAAAATTCATATATAAAAATAATAATTTAACATTATTAATCTGAGGAACAGACTGCTTTGAGTTTAACTCCATCACTGAACTCTCATCTTGAGCAAGCATGAAGGCGACAGTGGAAAGAAAAAACTCCCTCATGAGGAAGAAACATTTAGCAGAACCAGGCTCAGGACAAACGGACATCTGCTTTGACCGGAAACACTTTATAAATCATTAATAACTGCTTATTATGTTTTAATTGAGGGTGACAGAGACAAAACTGAGCAGTTTGTTGCCAAATAGTGAGCCAAATTTGCCACCTATATATTTCATCTAGAGTTGTTATATTAAACATTTCAGACTAAGTTACTACCTTGTAAACACAATGGGCATTTGTAAACCTATTTCTTTAGCGTATAATATTGTACTTAATCACTGCATTTTAAGTATCTACAACTGATATTATATTCTACAAAATACTGACTGGAGAAGCACGTGGGAGAAGGAGGTATCACACAGTGATGATGCCCCAAGGCTAGAGGATCTAGCTAGGATCCCAGCAATCGCCCCAGTGCTCATTAGAGTGGCAGACAGTCTCAGGAATGAAGAGCTGGAATGCACCTGGGCCTGACATGATCCACATCTACTGGCTAAAGAAACTGACTGGTCTCCATGAATGCCTAGCAGCACAGATGAACCTTCTACTTCTGGAAGAGTCCCAGTGGTTGACCTAAGGCTGAACAGTTCTGATCATGACCCTCCCCCAAAAAAAATAAAAAAGAAGAAATTACATCCAACTACCAGCCAATCACCAGCCTCTGTACAACATGGAAGCTCCTATCAGGCATCTTAGTGGTGAAGATGAATAGGGGTGTGGGTTAATATGCCCAGGACATCCTTGTAAAAGATTGATAATCTCAATGATTTCTATTCTAGTACAATAAATGTTTAAATAAAAATATTAAAATTAAAAATATATATATATACAGTAGCCCACTGCTACTTCGTGGTTCGACTTTAGCGGACTTGCTCTTTCATGGTTTTCAAAGTAAGATTCGACATGGCGCACAATCGGCTGATTGATGGATGAGCCGCACGATCATCATGGATTGTTTATTTAAAATAAATAAGTTTAAATTATTTACTACCTGCTGCACCTCTGTGCAGACCACATCTGCAGGAGAAGCTTCCAATTGCAGCCTGTCAGGATCTATGCTCTGCAGCAGAGAAGTGGGCGTGGCCGAGAGCGCTGGCGGGTGGCAGAGAGCAAAGATCATGACATGCTGTGTCTTTTAGAGCGTTTAGAGTTTAGAAACATTGTTTAGAATATTGCAAGAGTGTGGAAAAGATTTAAAACACCTTATACACACACACACACACACCCACATACATTTATATATATATATATATATATATATATATATATATATATATATATATATATATATGTATATCATGTGCTTTTTAGCTTATATTACTACCTTGAAATCCTTATTCATTCAAATTCATCCTGCTTGCAGCTTTATTTTCTACCATGTTGATGTTTACTATCTCTCTTTAGGACATTGTAAATAATATAATTGCTTTATCACTTTTTGGTACTCTATCTGTGTACCTTTATTGCATGCTTTTAGTATTTCTTGTTTGTTTGTTCTTTGATTTTTTTTTTTAGCGAGTCAAATTGGTTCTTCTCATCCTGAACATTACATTGTGTTAACATTGTGTTAACCTTGTGTTAACCTTGTGTTAACCTTGCATATGACAAATTAACACAACTTTAACAAATTGAACATCAACAGGGCATTAAGAGGCTTCATCAAGTATTCAATGGGAATGTGGAAGATGAGTCTAGGGGCCAATTCAAAGCCAATTGCACAAGTCGACATCAAATGTAGCATACACCCAGGTGGTGCACTGCCTCCACTCCTGTTCTGCATAGGTCTGGACCTCCTCTGCCCAGTCATTGCTAATAGTGGCTATGGATACCGGTTCCAAAGTGGAGCAGTCATCAGTCACCTCCTCTACATGGATGACATCAAGCTGTGCACCAAAAAATGAGTGAGACATCAACTACCTCACCAGAATCCACAGCAAGGACATCAGAATGTCATTCAGATTGGATAAATGTAGTTGAACGGTATGAAAGGGAAGCAAGTTGACAAATGGGGTTGAAGTACCTGAAGGCAGCACTGCAGATGTCCAGCACAGAATCCCACAGGCAAACTGGAACCATGAGGTGCAAAAAAGTCAACCACAAACAAGTACCAACACAGAGTAAAAAGGCAGGTTTAAAAGTATAGTTTACGCAAATGACTGAGGTGGCTGAAGATTAATGTACGGGGGGCCAAGGCCACTGTTGGCCACCCCCTGGCTCCACCAGTGCACCTGGTGGTAGATAACATTACTCCCTCCTCTCGCCAGGATCTGTCACTCTGCTCTGCCTCAAACAAGAAAAAACAAACCTCTGTTCTTCTCCACAGTGTAACTCCAACCCACTTCAATATCTTGCATAAAAACATTAAGGTTTATGTTGGAAAATAACCTCTTCCTCTAATGTTGTGAAGAACGACAACACTTATAGCAGATGAGAATAAAAACCTTGCACTTGCAAGGTGTTCAAGATAGACAATGCACAAACACAATGTACACAGATGAACTAACAACTGATTCCTCTGTTATAGCCCCCTCCTCACACAAACCCAGTGGGAGTCAAAGTTTTTACTCTTCTCTGATCTGCTTCTGCAGCTCAGGGTGGGAACAGAATCGTATGCATGTAAGGTCTTATCACCACCAAATAAGAAGATAAGACACAGTGAGCCTACAGGACTGCAAGAAGTCTGGGCTGACCCAGAGTGTTCCCCCTTATGAGAAGTCTTTCACTAGTCCAGTCCCTCAGTGATGGGGGACATCAGAGTACCGCTTGTTGTAGTCACTGTGTTCAATGATTTACAACCTTTTTCTTACACATGGGCATTTAGTGGGCAGCACGGTGGCGCAACTGCTAGAGCTGCTGCCTCTCAACGAGAAGGTCCTTGGTTCAAACCCCGGTCCAGGGGCCTTTCTGGGTGGAGTTTGCATGTTCTCTCCGTGCATGCGTGGGTTTTCTCCGGGTGCTCCGGTTTCCTCCCACAGACCAAAAACATGCATGTTAGGCTGATTGGTAACTCTAAATTGTCCCTAGGTGTGAGTGAGAGAGTGAATGGTTGTTTGTCTCGTTTGTCTCTATGTGTCCCTGTGATGGACTTGCGACCCATCCAGGGTGTACCCCGCCCCTCGCACAGTGATTGCTGGACATGGGCACCAGCGACCCCCGTGACCCAAAATGGAATAAACGGGTAAAGATAATGGATGGATGATGGGCATTTTGTGTCTGATTGATTTAGAAATTATTTGGATGAAATATTCTGTAACAGAATTCAGCCTGAATCTGGTTCAGAGTGAATTAATTAGATTTATGATTTTGTGTGGTATTCTGAGAGGACTCGTGAATTTTATTAACAAACTACAATAAAAATCAAACAATAAATAAATGTCCATTATTTCACAAACGGTAGATTAAACTGAAGCATTTAAGACCTGCAGTAAAGGAAAAGAATGATGAAAATAGGAATTTTATTTCAAGTTTAGTTGATCTCATTTGAAAAGGTTCAACGTTTGACTCGCAGCATTTTCTTCAAAAAACTAAAATTCCTAATTTTTCAAAACAATATTTGAATGATTTTCTGTTTTGTATTGCACAACAACGAAAGGTTCACAGAACAAAAACTGAACTAAAAACATTTTCCAACATTCAAAGAGAAATGCTGATTGGACTTTCTTCAGGTCGGATGGAAAACAGATGTTTAAAAAGACAAACGACCTCACAAAGGTAAACAGAACTAGAACGTGTGTAAAAATTCTGTGTAAATTCAAAAGAACCAAACGTCAGAAGACTTTTCCTGTTCCTCTGGGTGAAGCTTGAAATCACGACTTCAGACTGACAGGTATATTATACTCATTATTCTATTATTATATAAATTATAGTTGTTTGGAGTTGACAGAATAATGTTTCATGAGCTCCAGGACCTGCAGAGTTTATTTACATCTGATTTCTGCTGAACAACATCCAAATCTGTCCTGTTACAAAACACCTGCTGAGGTTTCCTGAAGTTTTTGCATAAAGTGTGGGGTGAAACGAGGTCTTTTTAAAACAATTAAAATATGAAATTTTTACTTGAAGGGTTGCAACCATAAACTAAAGTGGATAAAACTGGCTCCCGTTTCTATTTTTGATGATCAGTAGCAACACTGACTCTTATAAAAACTAAGTTTTAATGGGAAGCTTGAAAATCTTCTCTTTAAGGTCAATTCTAGCTAAATTAAATGTTCGATGAGCAGAACGTTGAATATGTGGTGAAAACGAACCGATTGTCTCGTACTGAAGCTGCCTTGCTCCACTCTTTTGAAGAGTCCATGGAGAAGTGGAGGTTTGTGAATCAAGCAGGACCTGTGAGAGTCACAAACGCTCCAGAGCCTTGCTGGGTTTTCTGTTCATAAAGTTCTGAACAGTAATGGGCAGATGTTGGTGTTTGTCTTTCTCAGGTGGGAGGAGCAAATCCCCGACTGCACAGCTGGTCTTTGGACGCCTGCGTCTTAACGCTCGTCTCTCTGCGCGGGTGCTTGGTGGAGAGAGGTTGTCGCACACTGCAGAGCAGGCTGAGGGTATGCCACAGAAGGACGGCTCATCGGACTGAGACGAGCCCTCTGAGCTGCCCTCGGACAGGGAGTCTGGCTGAAGGAGCTGGAGTGGACGGGACCTGGCAGCGGGTCCAACAGGACATCCAGCAGCTCTGCTCCACAGCTCGGCAGCAGCTTGGCAGGAAGGTCTCAGAGTCTCCACTTTGTCCAAGGCTTTCATTTTACTCCGTCTCTGCTGCGCACCAACATGAGGGAACAAAAGAGAAACAGGAGGCTTGTGTTTAATGACAGTCCAGAGAAATAAAACCCAAATCCTTGTTCACTTCTTGAACAGGTTGGTCCTGTTTGACCTGGTCCATCGAACCTCAGGTGTACACACACACACACACACACCTCCATCATGGCACAGAAACGAAGACAAAATGAGAAACACTAACTCCTCTCTAGCTGCTTCTGCAGGATGTAGAAAGTTCAGGAAGAGTCAGGAGGTTCTGATCCGTTGCGTTAATGAACTTGTGTGAACATTAGAAACACAACGGTGCAGCACTTTCACACCTCTAACACTGAAAAGAAGACACGTTATTTTAATCTCTTACCATGTTTAATAGTGAATAACTTTTCTTATTTAATGTTCATACAGCATGAGTGGGGGCCCCAACACACCAGGCAGCAGGTGAAACACAAGAACGTTCTGCAGACTGATGACGCACGGTCCAGACGACATGTGTAAATGACCTGGAAGGCGTTTCATTGGACCCGGCTTCTGGACTGACTTTAGTGATACTTACCCATCTCTGATTATCTCTGCAGCCGACGTGAGGAGCAAGCGACTCAGTCAACCTCTACATCAATAAACAGCAGGGCAATGTGCCATGATCATTAAGGATTATTAGACAATTAATTATAAGAGTTCTATTATTATTATTTTAATTATTTAATGTCAGGATTATAGTAGTAATTTAACCAATGCTAATTATATGCAAAGTAATAAAAATGAGGAAAATCCGTTCATAGGAGCATTGGATGATTGAATGAATCATTGATTTCTGATCAGAGTGATGCCGGCTGCTCACAAACAACAACAGATTAATGAAGCTGCACTGTTAGCCTGGTCCAGGCTAGCTTCAGAGGATTATTCTCCATGGAAACGTATGTGCCTCTGACGTAGCATGTTGTTTATCAGGCAGTGTAAGAAAACATGACATGTTACACAAGGGATTATAATACTATGAAAGCTTTGGGAAAATCTGTGAAGGGAATTCTTTGTTGGATTCTGATGCTGTTCAGCTAATTTACATTTTCTGCACCTCTTCAATAAACCCCAATCAATCAACCTGTCATTAAGACATTCAGTGTCATCTATTGTTTTAATAAAAGATTAAGTCTTTGCATGTTGTTTGGCTACAACACCCCCTCTTTTGTGCAGCCGAATCAAGGATTAATTCATCCAGGATACCATGAATATCCCACATTAATCCTTGATCCTACGTTTGTGCAACGGGCCACAGGTTGTGATTCCTGTTGTTGTTTCAAAAACTGTAAACAAACGGATTATTCCTGTTTTTGTTCTGCAGTGCAACAAAGTTTTACACACCTTTCTGTTAGCTGGAGAAAGACTCTTGGTCTCCTCTGCATGCAGCACCTCTGGGCCTGTTCACCAAACAACGAGGTGGGGTTAGGCTAAATAAATACAACTAATGATACATTCACTGGGGTATTTTTATTATTAATGAGCTCTTACCTTTAGCTTTAGTGGCTAACTGGACAGGCTCAGGGTAGATGAGCGGATATGATGCACTTCTTTTCAGGCCCATGTCTTCATGGGAAGAGAGTCTGCTCCTAATCAGACAGCAGACAGAGAGGAAAGACATCAGTCTGTGTCATGCTACTGATCACAGCTGGAAGAAGAAGCTGAGCAAAGGAGCAAAAACCAGTCTGTGGCCATGTGAAGTGCCTCTCTACAGGTTCCCCAGTAACCTACCGTGTTGGGCCACAGTAGGTCTTGGTGCTGGACGGCTCTGGCTCTGAGCTCGAAGGAAACACGATGCAGCAGTGGTTGAAACACAGGAAAAGACCGAGACACAAACACATCGCAAGAGACAGCAGCAAGTAATTCTGTCGGTCTAAAACCTGCAAAACAAACGTAGAATCAGCCCAACAAGAACACAAAGAAGCTTTCACATAGTTTATACAACACCAATAATAAAAATACATTTTAAACACCCTGGGAAATTATAGATTTAAGGTCAGAGATGCAGTATAGTCCATAATCTATGTAAACAGTAGCTTTATGGATCTGTAAGTGACCCTGTCGACAGACACTCTGTTGTGTGAGGTGGATAAAACAGTTATGACAGATGAAGGCTTTCCATGGGGGGGGGGGGGGGGATCTACCTCGTTCTGCAGCTGACTCACTCTGACAGACAAGTTGAGAACCAGATGAGTCATGTTCTGTAACTGGCCCTGCAGCAGCTGGATGGACTCAGTCTGACGCAGATCCTACAGGCGGGAAGACAAGAATCACTGCAGTGTCACGAGATTTATCACCAGTCAGCAAATACTTGTTATTTATAGATCAGTTAGACAGAGTCACACTAGTGCATCTGCTGATCTGGATCATTCAGAGCTCTGGGCCCAGGCTCAGATTTTCAATGTTACAAACATTTCAAACCTGGAGACACGGGCTGAAATTCTTTTGGACCATTTGTCATTTAAAGCTGAATGCACCAGTAAAATGTGTTGGGACAAAAGGAGCACAGTATGTGTGCATGGCAGCTGCTCACCTGCTCCTCAGCTAACCTGGACGTGTTCTGGAGTTTAATGATGGTTTTGTTAAAAGCTCGTTGCATCTCCTCCATCTGCCTCCGATACCTCACAGTGAAACAAATGGAAAAGACTTTAAGTCACACTTTACTCATCGGCTCAGAAGCAGAGAAACATCTCCTCCTGTTTGTTTCTTTAATGGGGGAGGGGGTGGTGGTTTCCGGTGCTTATTGGCAACCTTCAATGCTGCTGTGTCACTGTGCCTCACCTCTGGCTGAGCTGCTCCAGGTAGCGCCCACTGAGCGACATGTTCACCTCCAGAGCCTTGATGCGGTTGTTGAGTCTCATAAAAACGGACTCTTTCTGGTTGGAGCTGTGAATCAGGTTCCCGTTCTGCTCGGTTTCATTAAAGGGCTCTGCATAGATGTCTGAGAGGGATGGAGAAGTGGGTGAAGAGGCCTTTGGAGGAGAGGGATGAAACAGCTGACCACTGCCAGCTGAGGATGTAGACACATCTTCTGCAGGCTCCTCCATTTTGTTGTCTGCCCCAGGCATGAGGCTGATGGAGGACTGAGGCTCTGTGACAGAGTCTAACACAGAGGGGGATACTTCAGAGGAAACCAGAGTAATTTCAGGCACCACCGCTGTTTGGGCCTGGTGTTCTACAGAAGACGAAGGAGTGGAGGAGAGAACTGGAATTGGAGACGTCCTCTCCTGGGTCTGGATGGAGATATCACCATCAGGCCTTTCCTCTGTTGGTGCTGCTGAAGCTTTGTCTCCTGAGACACAGATTGTGGGCTTCACATGAGCAGAGCTGCTGGCAGAAGCTGAAAGTTCAACATCAGCTGACACCTCCTGGCTCATTTCTGGCTCAGACTCCTTGGCTGGTTCCTCAGAGGACAGTTTTGGAGTTTCCACAGCAGGGGTGGGTTTGATGAAGGAGGATTCATTGAGAGTAAGTTTAGGAAGGTTTGAGCTCTGACTGGGCTCCAGCACCGATCCCTCTGTGCTCCCTGAAGACTGAGCAGCTTCGGACAGGACTGCTTCACTCTCTGGTTCCTGCTCAGAGACTTGGCCTTTCTCGTGGGGTGGGTTCTCCTCGGTGCCATCAGGCTGAGGCTGGGGGCAGGATGAGGGGGGCAGGGGTGAGTGCCAGGTGGGTGTCAGGATGGAAACAATGGTTTTCTTTCTGTCTATTGTTTTGCATGCCCTCTTTTTGGACAGGGAGGCTGAGCACTGCTGCTGAACAAACTCCTGGAAGGATGACACACATGAGCACAAAGAAGAAGAAAACTGAGGCCAGCATCTGTGGTTTTCTCGATGTCGCTCATCAGATCTTGTGTCTTTGTCTTCATCCACTTCCTCTTTGTCGAGGAAAATGATTGTAGAGCTGATTGGTTCTTCTTCAACCTTATCTTGTGGGGTGACTAGTTTTCCCTCCACTGGGGGGAGCTCTTGTTCATACTCATCAGTAGTTTGTGTTTCTGACTCAACTGTTTCAGTAGTAGAAGAAACCTGGACATCCTCAGTGTCTGGACTAAAGGGAGACAACAACAATATGAGATAAGACAAAAGACCACACATTAACAGGGAATAAAGCCAGTATAAACGAGCCAGTATAAACGAGCCAGTATAAACGAGCCAGTATAAACGAGCCGGTATAAACGAGCCAGTATAAACGAGCCGGTATAAACGAGCCGGTATAAACGAGCCGGTATAAACGAGCCAGTATAAACGAGCCAGTATAAACGAACCGGTATAAACGGTACCATCCAACTAGACTGAGTATAAGTAAAAAAGCCCTACAACCCAGGTGAGATTCAATCCGAAAAAGACTTGAAGCTGCTGCCAAAGACTCCACTCTGCACTGAGTACATATTCTGAATATTTACAGAAATCAGCTTTTTATTTTCACTAAAATTACATGGATTGGAACAGAAAGTGGGGGCCTTGGTGCCCTGACACTAGCTTACCAAAGCTGGCTCTTGCATGGAATGTCGGGAAGGAGCCTGAGCTTGTGCATGAGGTTGAGACGTCCTGACTAGATATAAGTCACATTGAATTAGATGTAATAATTGCCACTGATAAGTGTGACTCAACTGAGCTCTTGTCTTATTGGTTCTTCTCAGGTAGAGGTAATTTGCCACTGTAACTTGTTTCTCCACTCGGTGGGTGGGATCGTCGATGCAAAGTGGGTGGTATCATAACAGGTCATTGTGTTTGAGCCATTCCGCTGGTTGTGGTCCTTGATCGCCCTATAATCGGACTTCAATTTCTTTAGCTTATCCCAGTACTTCTTAAAAGTCTGGGTGTAGCCATGATGCGCCATCATCTTCGATATCTCTCTGTAAATGCACTAATGTCTTGTGTTGCTCTCCGTCAACGTGATCAGAGAGGAAGTGGCAGTTTATATGTAGTTTGCAGTTTTGCTGGGCAGGTCATCCAGTGACGTAGATCCACCTGCCAACCAACAGCTGCTGTCTGTTTAAGTAAAAATTGGCACCTTGGAGCAGTCCACTTGGAACTTAAAACAAGATGGTTCCATAAACTGGGCTGAGTGGGGGTGGGTGCCGATAGTGGGAAGGCCCCTTAACTGGTGCTGCATGGTGCGGAACAAATGAGAGTTGAGACAGTGGCAAAGTGCCAATAATTGGACTCACCTTGTTGCAAAGCATGGACAATGGAACCAATCTCCTTGAGAGGGGCTGGATCTTATTCCACTTGAGAGTTGCCCATAGTGAGAGGAGTCAAGCTGGTGTGGGTCTATTAGCCCACCCCAACGCTTGGTGCCTGTGTGTAAGAGTTTTCCTCAGTAGATGAGAGGGTAGATTCCCTGCACCTTCAGGTAGGGGGATGGGCACTGACAGCTGTTTGAGCCTACGTGCGAAACAGCAGTTCAGAGTACCCAGCCTTCTTAGGAGTCCTTGGCGGGGTGCTGGAAGGTGCTCCAGCTGGCAACTTCTTTATTCTACTGGGCACCTTCATTGCCCACCTGGATAATGAATAGTGTGATCTGGAAGGCCATGGTTGGGAGGAACTGCCTATCTAATCTGAACCCAAGGGGTGTTCTGTTGTTAGACTTCTTAGCTAGTCACAGTTTGTCCATTACAAACACCATATTCAAACATAAGGGTGTCCATAGGAGCACATGGCACCAGGACACTCTAGATCCATGATTAACTTTGTAGTTGTGTAAACTGATCTGCAGTTGTATGTTTTGGACACTCGGGTGAAGAGTGAAGAGAGGAGCTGCACTGTCAACTGATCATCACCTGGTGGTGAGTTGGATCAGATGGAGGGGGAAGAAGCTAGACAGACCCAGTAGACCCAAACATGTCATGAGTGTTTGCTGAGAATGTCTGGCAGAAGAACCCATCAGAAAGATCTTCATCTCACACCTCAGAGAGAACTTTAACCTCCTCCCAGCTGAGGCGGAGGACACCGAGTCTGCATGGGCCATGATCTGCACCTCCATTCTCGAGGCGGCTGCCTTGAGCTGGGGCTGTAAGATTGTTGGTGCGTCTCACGATGGCCATCCTCAAACTCCGTGGTGGACACCCAAGGTTTGGGAGGCTTTCAAGCTGAAGAAGTTCTATCAGGCCTTGTTGGTTGGTGGGACTATGGAGGCAACAGAAGAGTATCGAAAAGCCAAGCAGGCTGCAGCCTTGGCTGTTGCTAAGACCAAAGTTCAGACGTGGGAGGAGTTCAGTGAGACGGAAGTAAGTTGGACCCCTTCAGGTTGGGAGTTGGACTCTGCCAAGGCTGCCTGTTGTCACTAATTCTGTTCAAAAAATTCATGGACAGAATTTCTCGGTGCAGCCAGAGAGAAGAGGAAGTCCAGTTTGGTAGCCTGAGGATTCAATCTCTGATATTTGCAGATGATGTGGTCATGTTGGCATAAAGGTGCCGCGATCTCAAGCTCACTGGAGCAGTTGGCAGCCAAGTGTGAAGTGTCTGGGATGAGGATAAGCAACTCAGAATATGAGGCCATAGTCCTCAGTTGGAAAAGGGTGGACTAATCTCTTCAAGTTGGGAATGAGGTTCTGCCTCAAGTGGAGGAGTTCCAAGTACCTTGGGGTTTTAATCATGAGTGAGGGAAGAATGGAACATGAGATCAAAAGACAGGTCGGTGCAACATCTGCAGTATTGCACACTTTGTGCCAGTCTATTGTGGTGAAGAAGGAGCCAATTTGTAAGAAGAAGCTCTGTTTACTGGTTGGTCTTTGTTCCTACCCTCACCTATGGTGACAAACTCTTGGTAGTGACTGAAAGAACCAGATTGTGGATACAGGCGGACGAAAAAAGTTTTCTCAATAGGGTAGTTTGATTCTCCCTTAAAAGAGAGAATGAGAAGTTTAGTTATCTGGGAGAAACTCTGGAGTAGAGCCACAGCTCCTCCACATCATGAAGAGCCAGTTGAGGTAATTCAGGCGTTTGGTAAGGATGCCCCCTCCAGACGTGGATGACTGGGAAGAGGCCTCAAGATGCCTTGGAGTCCTCCCAGAAGAGATGGAAGAGGGGGCTGTGGAAAGAGATGTCTGGGCCTCCCTGCTCAAACTGCTGTCCCTGCAACCAGAATTTGGAACTGCCATCTACTGCCATCGAGGGTGGTTCATTTTGAGTAAGTAAGATAAAGCGAGAATATCCTGATGCATGCTCAATAATCCAGGTAGAAAAATCTAACAAAATTAAGTCTGGTCCTCTGGATGGATAAAAAAAACCTTGAAACAATTCATCTTTAATCCAAAAGACTTCATCAGTCTAAGGAGTTGCAATAAACTCAGTTTTATAAATAGCATCTTCTCATAGTGGATCAACCAGTTTGCTGGAGACAGTCAAAACTAGTTGCTCACATGCAAAAGGAGGACGATCAGCCTAAGGAACGATCGTTAGTGCCTTGATGGATGTTTACTACTCACAGAGGGCTGAGTGATACTACCAGTGACAGAATTGTAAGAGGGGGACAGTTGAACACGGAGGCCTCCACCCGTTTAACGATGGACAGGTTCTCTTCACAAAGATGGCCTCCTTTACTTCTCTCTCAAACCAACATTCCTCTCTATCAAGGATGTGAACATCTTCATCCCTGAAAGAGTGACCGCTGGCCTGGAGATGAGTGTAGACCGCAGAGTCCTGGCTGATCCGCTGGTTGATCCACTGTGAGAAGGTGCTATTTATAAGACTGAGTTTGTTGCAGCTCCTTAGACTGAAGGTCTTGGATAAAAGATGAAATGTTTCAACAAGTTTTTTTGTTTTTTTTAATCCGTCCAGAGGACCTGACTTAATTTGTTAGATAAAGTGAGAATATTTTTCTCCCAAAAGATGGATGAATGGATAAAACTACATGTATACAGTTTTATTTTCACTTTGGCATTAAGGAGAATAAGGTGGAGATTAATGAATATATATATATATATATATATATATA